GGGAGACCTTGCTCAATTGGTGGCTGACTAAATACTTTTTTGTCCCACTGTAACTGCTCCTAGAGTGACAAGCGTCTTGAGACCAGCAGTGCAGAAAATCATCTGCCTCACTCACAGGGTCCTTTGGGGCACATGGAACAGAAATCCGGACCCAGCTCTTCTTTAAAAAAAAATGTGAGGGGAGACCAACAAAAGCAAACATTTCTCACACACTAATCAAAGCTATCTTACTTGGATGTTTAAATCCGCAATAGGAAAAAAGAAACAGGAAATCCAAAGAGATACAAATCCAAAGCTAATGAACACACAGAACTTTTATTTGCCAACGTCAGGGACAGCAAAAGGAGAGGGTACATGGATTTTGAGGAGGAATCTGAAAGGGAAGGGAGAATTGGCCCCAGGCAGGGATTTTAAGACTGCAGACCGGGGCGAACAGGGGAAGCAAAGCAAAGGAAGATCTAAACTGTAAAGCTGACAGCAAAATACTTCATTTTTTAAATTGTAACCTATTTAGCCAAAGAGGCTCCTTTGAAGTATTTCAATTCACCCCCCGCCGACCCTTGAAAAGCAGAACGACGGCGCAGAAACCGTCTCCGGGCTGCAGTGATGTGACGCGGCCTCTTTCGGGCTCCTTTGGTGCCCGGACAAGAGGCCAGCTGGGAAAACACAGAAGCCGTCTGGAAAACACATTAAGCCACTCCAGCAGGCTAATGTGAATGCTCATCTCCCCGCCTTACCCTCATCCAAAGCTTTCTAATCTACTTCTGCGGCTTGCTTAAGGCTCCGCACGTTGTCTCAAGCCAAAGCTACTGCCGTTTCTGGCAAGCATTAATAAGAAATGATGGTCTGTTCCAGATGTGGGTGTCTAGTGCAGCACTGGACAAGCCGTGGACCTTGATTAAATAGCTGGGGGTGAAATGGGAGTTATGCTTAACCATGCCGGACATCCCATCCAAACGCACATCTACACGCACTCCCCCCAGCCTCAAGATCCTTCGACAACGATGCAGTACAACGATGGGTTATCATCTCATGTGGCTGCCTCCCCCTCCCCCCATCTGCCAGTGGAAAATATGCAGGCTCGCACCGAGGCACCTCGTTTCCCAGGCAAGTGCGTGGCCGGCTGATACTCCCGGGGGCTCCAGGGAAACATGTCACCTTGCAACCCCATCCCTGGCAGAAGGCCAGAGCTGCTCGGAGTGGACAGGAGGGCAAAGCCTTGCAGCAAACACGGACCCTTTTCCCAAAGGACGGTCAGCGCTCCGGGGGCTAGAAAGAGCCAGCCTGCAATTCTGTACCGTCCCCACTACAGCAAAAAGAAAAGGGCTGCGTTTCGCCCCCATCACAACGGTTGCCTTGTGGTCCCATTATCATTTATTTTGTTATTTACCCAATTTACTTCCCACCCTTGCAAAAATAACAGTTATAGCGCCTGTAAGAACATGAAACAGCGAGCACACAAATTAATCACTATTCAAACAGGACACAGCATAATTCTAAATGTACAAGATGAGACAATAAAGCCTGTTTCTGCAGCAGACTTCCAGAGGCTGTGTGTTCTTGGCGCTCTTTCTGGAAGCCGAGCGGGGACCAAGCGCAGCTCCGATTGATTCCTCCCTTTGGGATCAGCGGAGCAGAAAGCCTCTCCCAAGTGCCTGACAGGTAGGCCTCTCCCGGACATCAACAGGCCGTGTGTGTTTATGAATCAACTTATTTATGGCAGGTGTTTTCCAACTGCTCTTGAATCACGCTCCCAGGGGGATTCACATCATTTTAAGTTTTAATTGAGTGTGGCACGCCACCCAGAGTCACTTTTTTGTGACTTGGGCAGCTATATAAATTCAATCAATCAATCAACCAACCAACCAACCAATCAATCAGATAAACAGCTCAAGGTCTTGCCCTTTCAAAAACAGCCTTCCCACGTTGGCAGGGGCGAGGGGCAGATTATTCCTTCCTGCTGGATCCCACACCTTTTTGAAATGCAAACGGGATGTGGCACCTTCCAAACATGTGACGGGTCAGAGAAGATCTGCTCAATCAGCTGGTAACATATAATCAAAGCAGGAAGCCTTGACACGCCTGCCATTTAAGAACAAAACTAGTTAACTCTGAAGAGGAAGGAAGCCACCTTCCAGAAAAAATGGAATTAATTTCTTAGAGCAACACAGGTCACTGAGCTGTTCTGTCTGGATCTTCGCCGGAGCAGTTAACACAAAGCAGAGCGAGAGCACAAGAAAAGCCACTCAGAACGGCTGCAGCGGTGAGGAAGGAGCGCTTCCTCGTTCACCGGAGCAGCTCCACCTCCTGTTTCCAGGCTGTGGCGTTGGGAACAACTTTGCCAAAGGGTTCAAGTGACTCCCAACTGTGAGAGGACCACTGGCTTTCAGAGTAAGGATCTGGCGAGAAGAGGCCTTTGGCCGAGCAGGTGTGGACGGATTTTGCGTAGCGTAATCTCTGCTAGCGTGAGCAAATCCAACTCCGGAGACAGTTGACCAGCAAGCTTTCCACTATCTTGTTGGGAGAATCGCAGCACAAACCACTTCCTTCCTTCAGGAATTAGAAGAGGAGGAATTTGGCCGACGTAGCAATTGGGGGGGGGTGTCAATGATTCTGGAAGGGAAGGGCTTCAGCTCAAGGGATCTGCAGGGCTGACCTGCTTTGACCGCTGAACAAAGAACATGGCGTCTCGTCTGCTTCTGGACCACAGAAAGGCTGCTTCCTTCGTTAAGGCAGGAAGGTCTTGAATGCAGACCCTGAGCTGGCTTTTCTGCAATAGGGCTGGGGCAACAGATGCATCAACGCAGATTCAGGGATCCAAGGCTGGACCCAAACTTGGGACAGGTAAATAGGGGAGCTGAATAAAATGCAGCTGGGAGCTACTCCCCACTCTCCTGCCAGCAAACATCATCCCAGAGATAAAGGCCGATCAACCCCGTTTCACATGGGACTCCTTGATCTCGGCCTGTGTGCCCGCTTTCCCTTTTTGGAGTTTTCCATTTCTGAAGACTCCAAGCAGCTCACAAGAGAGTTAAAGTTAACAAGAAACCAGAAAAATTAATATGGACCCCAACTCCGATGGGCCATCGTTTGAGAGCAGTGAGATTTTCATACATCCCCAAATGCCTTCACAGCTGTTGGGAAATGTAGTGGGGAGGAGGCGGCCATCAGGGACAGGCTGGGCGATCTGAGAGGAGGCTGGAGCCCAGTGCCCCTGCATATGGCATTCCCTCAGATGAGAGACCATTGGTAAGCCCAGACTGCCAGATTCAGCTCCAAGGAGGTAGCCTTGGAGCTTTCTGAAGTCTACACGGTGGTGGCAACATTCACCTATTCGTGTGGCTCCTCTATGGTTCAGCTACAACTCAGTGGAAGTCACAGAACGCTTCGAAAGGGGTTCTCCCTGGTTCCCTGCTGTTCCAGGCCAACAAATGCAAGCCATGGCGTAGACCAGGCTGCTCCTGCTGGGCCTCGTGATTCCATGCCAACCCCCCCGAAAACATTCCAGTGGTGCTCACAAAGAGAGCAGCAGCAGAAACAGCACGATTCAAGGCACAGAAAGCAGCCATGACTAAGCCAGGTACAAAGACAACACGCCTGCAAAAGGCATTATTGAAACAGGCTGCCAAGCGCCAGCTATGAAAAGCGTTTTACCTTCGGTGTATGGGACTGGGTTTCCGATCTTAGTGGGCACTGCGCTACCCGGCCACAGAACCTCTAATTCCATCAAGACCACCACTCGCCTAGAAAGACAAAAATGCAGGTTGGCTCCAGAGGTCTGCTTGACTTGCCGAAGGCTACGGGCCGGAGGGTCCAGGTGACCGAAGCGGGGGAGAAGGCTCCGCTCTAGCCCACTGTCCTGCATCTTGTTCGTGGGGAATGGCCAACCAGGAAAATCTTAACCTACCCTTCACTTGGGTCCTCTGCATTCGTTAGAAGCAGTTTGCTTGGTATGCTCTCTAAACACGGGATCGTGGCTTGTTTGCTCCTTTTATTACTAAAATAAACCCACTTCTAAAAAGGAGGCCAGGACCCCAGACTGAGGGATCTGGCTGAAGTCTTTCTGGACAAGCTAGGATTTGCCAGATGCAGCCAGAAGAGCCGCAGCCGCCGAGCAGACTCAGGCAAAGGGCCGGACGGGCCGAGGAGGGGCTGAGCCACCGGCTGCGGAGGCCACGTGAAAGAAGCCACAGCTCTCCAAGAGAACTTTCCAGGCTGCGGCCCAAGCGCATGGCAAGCGCGCAGTCCAGAACATCCAACCCAGCAGAGGGGCACCAGGTGACGAAGGAGAGACCAGACCCATCACGGCAGGGCTAGCAGGCATGCGTGTCCAGCAAAAATACCCCTGGGACCAGCCAGGATCCGGAGGGCAGACGGGCCTCTCCCATTCACATTTTCTACTGCAAATGCATGAATGGCGAGGCATTTTTTCCTCAGAATGATACCGTTGGATGAATCCTCCCTCCCTCCCTCATGGAGGGACACCCAAGTTAATGTCAGTGTACCGGTGTGACAGCCAGCATTCAGGCTGCAGTTTACATCACGCTTTAAGTGCTCTTCTCAGTCATCTCCACAGCAACCTCTCAAAGTAGGTCATTTCTAACATCTCCTCAATATTACCTTTACACTTGGGTCTGTATGACAGAAGTTGGGGTTTAACAAGCGCAAAATAAAACAATTACTTCCACGCAGTCACACTTTCTTTTTCCAATATATCTGAATCACCTACCCAATAATGACCTTGCCTTCCTTATTTTGCAATTCACAAAGCGAGCATCTTTGTCTCCTAAAAAATCATGTTGTTTTGCATTGCTACAGCCACAGGATACGTGCCAACCAGGAAGTCCTATCTGCTTCATTTTCATTCTTCAAACGTGGGTTTGTGACTAAACCTTCCAAGCTCTAGAAAGCGGCCATATTTATGAGTGTGCGTGCTTGCTTATTTTGCTATTCTACAAGACGACAGGCTGTGATTATGTTTGCACAGAATTGCTGTGAGCTCTGGTTTCATGGAATGAAAATGTGACTGGTGCCCAACCACCTGTGTGGGTTACTTGTTCACTACAGTTACTATAACAACAGTACGGTCTTGCCGGGCCCATCCAACTCAGCTGTCTGGGTCCCGCAGTGGCCAATGGGATGCCTTGGGGAGATTTGCACCCCTGGACTGGAGGGCAATAACAGTCCACATACACACTCCCTCGCACACATCCAGGGCCGCAAGAGCCCCATCCTCTGCTGAGGACCCGTCCTGCGCTCCTTTCCGTCCTGCTGGCCGTGGATCCCCCCCGTTAGCTATGCGCTGGGTGCAGAGGGGGCCCCTCTGTGGCCCTGCATTTGGCTGGACGGCTGACCTCAAGGTCTAGCCTGCGGGAGGGGGAAATCTTCCCTTCCTCTGCATTCCTGTGCCTTGTGTGATTTTATGCCCCCCTCCTGGTCTCCCCTGCCCTTCTTTCTCCCACACTAGAGAGCCCCCGTTGCTGCAGGGGAGCTCCCTGCAATGACCTCCATGTCCCTTTGCTGCCTCTTTTCTACCTCTGTAATAACCAGGACTCCACACGGTCTCCATCCAAGTGTGTATCACCACAGATTTGTACAGAAGCGTGATGATGTTGGGATTTCTGTTTTCAATTCTTTTCCTAATGTCTTGAAGCAAGGTATTTATTATTTTATTTATTATTATTTATGCAATTTCTATAGCCACCCATCTCAATCCAGGTGACTCTGGGCAGCGAAAATTTGCTTTTCTGGAGCAGCTGCACACCAGGATGACATTTTCGTAGAGCTGTCCAGTTCCAAGACCCCTTTCTTGGTCAGTGCCAGCCTGCTCAGATCCCATTAAAATTTCAGTTTGGACTTTTGCACCATCCTCCCAAGCAAGAGAAAACTTTGTGTTACCCCTGGATTTACTTAGTTTGAAGCCAGGTTTGTGGCTAACTTTCAAATCACAGCTTGTTAGAATTGCAGCCCAGTATCTGAGCATAAATCTAACCCAAAGTTTTTTTCTGCTTGTTTTCTTTAGCCCTTCTCACCTACAGGAGATGCCAGATGGGAGTCATTGGGGAGCTTATGCTTTGATGGCAGAATTTTTGACAATGCTGCTTTGCTGTTCCATGATAACGCAACAAAGTAAGCTTTTTTCTATCTCCTCTAAAGCAGAGGAGAGCTCACGTTCTTCACTCATTTCTTACCCTTGATGTGCCAGGAATGACTCACTGATATGTGTGGGCAGATGAAAATAAGGACGTGTCATTTTACAAACATATCAGAACAGTCTGAGGAAAAGGGTAGCCATTCCCAGTCCCTATAGGCACACTTAGGGGACCCACTTTAACCCAGAACCAAGCAGTTGCATTTCCTTCTTCCAAATTCAGCAATTACCTTCCATCCTTCAGAGTGTTAACAATGAACCGGTTAATCTGGCAAATGGCATGTGCAGTCAAGCTCTGGTCATCCACCAGAGGGTTCAGCTGTGTTGCCAGCATAAAAGCTGCAAACGGAAGATAGACAGGCTTTAGGACATCAACGTCCAGAATGTTAAAACTGCTCAATTTACATTGAGAAGTTTAAAAATGTGCTGCATTTATCACCAAATTAATGGATGGGGTTGAAACACAAATCAGCATTTCATTTTGCAAGCCATCTTTGATAAAAAAAAAATTGCCAATGCAATTTGTAAGATGAATGCAGGGGTCTCTAACTCAAATCATCAGAGGTGCCACTTGATGACCAGTCCTTTAATCCAACGGCACTATGCTGAAGCCTCTTCGTGTATTGAACGCCTTCTAGTAAGTCAAAAATAAAAAGCACTATGGGTTGCCACAGCCCAAGTTTTCCCCCCTCATCTTTCCTGGCTAAGCCTCCCCTTCTCACTGCCCACGCCCAGAGCTCCTTCAGAAGCAGCCTGAGCGCAGGAGGGGGTTCCTGGAGAGCGGTGCTGCTCTGTGTGAGCGGCCTTGGGGTGCCACTGTGACAATCCTGCTGACCAGGCCCCGGGATTTGGCCGAGGCGAGCCGCCAGGAATCCACTACCGAGCTGCTTCTCTTCCTGGAGCACTATCCGTGGTCCAGCTGGTGCATCTACGCTCAACTCCCTCATCTTGCAGGGATCATCTTTAGCTCTTAAGTATTGTTGCTGCCGCAGGAAATGACTTGGAGGGCCAAAGGTTTGAGACCCCTGTGTCAATGTAAGGCCACCCTATAAAATTGTTCTCTAGGCAAGGCAAACCATTCCTGGTAAGTGCACTCAATGAGTTCTGGGGGATTAACATGAATACTTCTTTCCAGGATCTTTACAGTACTTTGAGACTGTGGCTAAATTCACTGCCGTCACAAACTGGGGTGCCAAGGAGTTGGAAGAGCCCACCCTAGTCTCACGGCAAGGGCCCTTCAGCTTCCAACACCCTCACTTTTGTGGGAGGATCTCCCTCACCCAGGCTGGCCTTTCCAGTGTAATCTCCAGCTACCTGGGCTCCTGCACAGCTCAGAGCCCAAAGGCTGAAGCTCACTGAGGCCAAAGCATGAAAGCAGAGTCCAGTGCCCTCCCTCCCCCCCTTCCTGGCAAGCCAGCCTCTCTTTTCCTGGTGAAACTGAAAAAAAACTCCTCCACCTGTCTAGCAGCAATTAGACTATCAAGCTGAGAAGGGGAAGAAGTCATCCGTGGGGGGGAGGGCGGAGGCAGCTCTGTGAAACATTCCTCTGCAAGGCAGTAATGTTCTCTGTGGCCAAAACACAGGTGCCCCGTGCCCGTTCAAAGGGATTTGCCTCCTGCAGCTGACAGGACCCTCAAGGGTCTCGGGCAACCATAAGTCTCAGCCCTTCTATCCAAGATCCTTTACGCGCATTACTGTTTATAATTTTGAATCTGTCTGAACTTTATGAAAAGTTATGTTTTTCTAAACCTCAGTTTCCTTGGGACTTCCCCAGAGCAGAAAGGTGGGGTATAAATCAAAGAAGCCCTATGGGCCAAACCTGAGATCTTCCCTGGGTAATACAGACACGGCCCCACTGAGCTATATGGCTGCCATCTCCCCCCCCCCCGTTCTACACATAACCAGACGTTCTTCACAACCTTATTCTCATTTTCAACTCTCTCAATATATTTGTCCTTACAGGAAAGTGTGTTCACGCCATCGCTCATCAGCATCCGGTAACGTGGGGGTCCGTTTCCAGTGGAGATCGGGCGGATCGTCTAAGTGAAAAACCCACATAGTGAAGGAAGCACAGGGCGAACAGTTAGGCACCTTCTGGTGAACGGATGACGGAGGACATACGGAATGGAGCTGGGCAGCCAATACGTTTAAATCAATCAATCAATCAATCAATCAACAAACGCTAGCTTTGCTGATCGGGCCAAGACCACTGATTCTGTTTCTCACAGGCTGACCGGATGGTCCTGGGGGGCTCACAAGCCTTCTTGTGCCAGTGCTCCCTGATGGAGACCTGCTGGCCCCGACCTGCGAGTCGCGCTGGCGGCCCTCGACAGGCGCGCGCGCTGAGTTCGTCCAGCCCCCTTGACCGCCACCCGCATCGCTGCCCATCGCCCCACCTCGCGGGCACCAGTTCCAGGAGCTGCTCTGTCTGCTCCCGGGCTCCTTCCCGTCAGGGGCGCCGGACGACCCCGGCCGCGTCTGCGGGGGGGGGCGAAGAGGCCCTGCGCCGCACTCTGCCCCCC